TAACATCATGAGGCCTGTACACGGTGCTGGGCCCGTGTGTGTCATGGAGGCCCAGAGATTGGGTAGCTCAGCTCCTGGCTGCCTGTGGAAATTATGACTCATGGAGGTCCTCGTGGCTGGCACTGACTGACAAGAGAGGAAAACTTGAGTGGTGAGAACACGGAAGGAGTTCCCACCCAGACTTGTTAGATCAAGAAGGGCTTCCTGGAAGAGGTGGTGTCTAGGACAGGAAGAAAGTGGGATTCAGTGGAGGAACAAGAGTGGGGGAGCTTCTGACAGAGGACACAGCAGGAGCGAAGTCTGAGGGCTCGGCAGAGGAAGGCACATTTGAGGACTGAGGCAAGAGGGAAGGGTGTGAGGAGGGACAGGGCACAGTGGATGGGGCCAGACCACTGTGGGAAGGCGGACTTTCTCCTGAAGGCAGTGGGGAGCCATGGGTGAGTTAGAAGCAGGATAGTGACAAGGTCAAATAATGCTTTATCAAGATCATTCATGAAACCATGGGGGGTAGATTGGAGGAGCCCTCTGCTGGAGGAGACGTGGTTGAGAGCCACTGCAGCCATTCGGCTGAGGTTGCTGATGCCCGGACCCAGGTGAGGGCTGTGGGGATGGAGAGAATGGGTTTGGAAGCATTCATTCAGGACTGATGAGGTGGGTTGGTGAGGGAGCGGGGAGGGTCACAGCAGGCCTAATAGAGGTGAGGGGTTCTGTGGAGACGGGAAAGCTCTGAGATGCTGAGACCCCTTATCATCTTGCCACCGTGACAGGTGGGACTCGGTCTCACCTGGTCAAGGTCAGCTCACCTGGTGGTGGGTTTGTGTGGGGTCTCCTGGGTGCTGGGAGTGGTGGTGGTGGTGGGAGAAGTGGCTGTAACCAGACTTCTCCTCTTCTCTTACAGCTTTGGATACCCCCTGCCTTTGGCTGCCGCCCAGAGTATGACAATGGATTGGAGGAGATCGTCTTTGGCTTTGAGCCTTGGATAATTGTGGTCAACCTGGCCATGCCCTTCTCTATTTTCTACCGAATGCACGCAGCTGCCTCCCTCTTTGAGGTCTATTGTAAGATCTAGACGCGTCCACATGAAAGACTGAGGAGCACTAACAAGAGAGCTCACTGGAGCCGCCTGGGAG